TTCTTAGTAGGTCTTAGTTCCTTTTATGGGAGTAGTAGTAGTTCTTTACCTTTCAATACTACCATTATTCTTGCACTAATTAAGGGATTTGCTTTCATTATAGCCCAATTTGTAATCTGTGGTTTTAACAAAAGCCAAAAAGAAATTATATTCCTGAAACTTGTGCCATCCTCCCTCAGAAAAAAACAAAACAAAATTCAGTTGATGTTCAGTTGACTCCAGCTCCTGGTGACCCCATGTGTGTCTGAGTAGAACTGGGCTCTATAGGGTTTTCAATGACCAATTTTTTGGAAGTAGAATGCCAGGCTTTTCTTCCAAGGTGCCTCTGGTGGACTCCAACTTCCAACTATTTGGTTACGTATTTTTCCCTCTCTTAATTTGAATTATTATATTCTTTGACACATCTACTTTCCAAATATGTATTTACTTGCTTACAAATATATCTGGATGGTTTCTGTCTACCTTCCTAAATGCTGCCCATGTTGGAGACAATGTAGTAGAAAGAGTGTGGACTTGGATTGGATTCCAAATTCTCACCGTGGCATCCTGAGCAGGTTTCTTTTTTTTCTGAGCCATGGTTCCCTCCTAGAGCTGTTGTCAAACTTTCGAGTACGGTGTGTTTGGTTTACTTGTCTTTTCACTGAACTTGACACTGGAACTGTTGACATCGTGTGTTTCTATCTCTGCAGCAGTGCAGTGCCTGATCTCAGAGTGGGTGCTCAATAAATGTCAGTCTGTACTGAATAAATGAAAAAATGTATTTTATTTTAACAAATGCTGTCCCCTCCTTACTCAGACCATTTCTTCTCTTTTTCATATCTGTACACTGGGAGAAGCAATGATAACTAGTTTGAAGAAACATTTTTCCTGAAAGGTAGAGGCTCTTGGTGGTTTAAAACAGATACTAATACATAGTTTCCTTCATAGTTCATTTTCTACTATATTTAAATAATGAGGTACCATTTTTATGGGTCTTTGTCTTCTAACAACGTTTTGCATTACATTTTTTTAAATGACTGGTCATTTAAGAAACTATGTAGAGAGTTGTAAAAGAAATGATTCAATCTAAAATGGGTAAATTGTGTAAAGTGTTTTCTATGATAGGCACCATTCTAGGTTTATAATCTATTTAATGAAAGTTATCTATGGCTTTGCACCTATAAAGTATCCAAAGAATACACTGGAACAGTTGAGAATTTAAGATAATAAGTCACATTAATCTAAGTTTCCACAAGAGTTAGATAAATAAATGTTTTAAGTGAAGATTTTAAAAACATGACTGATGACCGGTTATTTATCTAGGGTCTTGGGATATTTTAAGTTTTAAAATGTTCATAGTAAAATTGAGAAAGTACAACTACACCAAACACAGTTTCAGGTTTCTTCTTACAAAGCATTCAACCCATTGTCCAAGAAAACACTTTCATCTTGCAAGATGAAAGAATTAAATTGAAACTAGAACACTGAAGGCTACTGTGGAAACATGCATTTATTCAGGCGTATGGTTGTAATCCACTGAACACATAGTTAGAATGTATTGGAGAATAACCAGAACAGATTTGCCAGGCAAAGATTCTGCCAGGTCAGCTTGTTTTTTGTTATGGGAAAAGAAAGACACAGAGAAACATATACACTGATGTTACCTTTTTGATTTAAAAGTCACGTTAGCATCTCTCAAAAAAAATATTGCTTTCATCTTTATAGATAATGTTTAAGGTGCTGACTTCTTCAAGATATTGTACTTTTTGTGCCCTAAGTTTAAATGATCAGGTTCATTATTTTTGTGCAGTCAAAAGAGTTGATTGCATTGGAAAAGACATTTGCATGCTCTTCAATACAAAAAGCGCCTGTAAATGGATTTCAAAGAATATAACGCCTGGTTTATTTATTGATTAAAGAGTTAAACTACAGATATTGAAGAAACAGGATCCAATAATCTGAAACACAAGGTCAGGGTATGTGCACAAGTGTTTTGCACCCAGGCACTTCTTGATTGAGAACCTCTGATGTCCACCTGTCATTTCCTTTTGCATTTAAACATATTGGAAAGAACTTGCAAGAGCTCAGTCAAATGTACTTGTTACAAAAAGATTTGTAACTGCAAAGCAGAGAGAATTTTCAGTTAGTATCATTGAAATTATTTAGTTCTGCTCTGTGACAAGTGAAATTATTGTTTATTAAAGAAAGATAATTACATATTTGGCCTAAAATCAATCAATATGAACATAGAAAAGCTGAAGTTCAGGCAGAATCAAGACCTTGTTAAAGCATAATTATGTCAAGTGAGGTCAATCAGAGCACCTGGGGAACCAACTGACCCAATCATAAGGGCAAGAGAATAACATGAATTTTTTAATCATAGAGTCTCAGAGAATTGTAAAATGTTTTGAACTTCCTTCTGATTTACAAATTATTTTTTATTATTTTGTACCTAGCTTTTTGGAATAAGACATAGAAATTTAGTGTTTGAATAGGTGGTTTTATATTCTAAAAACCAAATGCATTGCCTTTGAGTCGATTCCAACTGATAGTGACCCTATAGGACAGAGCAGAACTGCCCCCACAGGGTTTCCAAGGCTGTAATCTTTATGCAGGCAGACTGCCACATCTTTCTCCCACGGAGCCTTTGGTGGGTTTGAACTGTTGACCTTTATTTAGGTTAGCAGCCAAGTGCTTAACCACTGCACCATCAGGGCTCTTTTGTTTTATACTGTTGTTTTGTTGTTAGGTGCCCTTGAGTCGGTTGTGACTCACACCGACCCTGTGTACAATAGAACGAAATTCTGCCTGGCCCTGCGCCATCCTCACAGTTGTTGTTATGCTTGAGCCCATTGTTGCAGTCACTGTGTCAGTCCATCCTGTTGACAGTCTTCCTCTCTTTCGCTGACCCTCTGCTTTACCAAGCATGATGTCTTTCTCCAGGGACCGGCCCCTCCTGATAACATGTCCCAAGTATGAGAGATGAAGTCTTGCCATCCTTGCTTCTAAGGAGCATTCTGGTTGTACTTCTTCCAAGACAGATTCGTTCACTCTTTTAGCAGTCTATGGTATATTCAGTATTCTTCACCAGCACCAGGTGGCTAGTAATCAAGCTGTAAATAGATTGCAGAATAATTGGCCTTTTGTATGTGATTGTGAATGCTGGGTCATGCTATTTTAAGTATGCAGAACTCCAGTTTCTTTTTTAGGCAAAATATTGGTTGATAGATTAAGTGTGATTATTTTATGAATTAGAGATGAACAGATTTATAGTTGTTCTTCTGAAAACATTATGAACTTTTGAGCTATGACATGATATTGAATTTATATTGCTAGAAGCATCACCTAATGTGATCAAATGAGAGAATAATTATTCAAATTAACTGCAGTAGAGCTATCAGCATTGAGACAAAGGCTTAAGTAGATCAGGTGTTCAAAGAGGAAATTACTGATAGGTCTGAGAAGCAGTAGTGGCTTTGTCTGGTTGGATGACCCATAGGTCCTTATCTCTCAGTGATGATGCAGATTTATGGAGGTCGGGATCTAATGTCAATGTCAAGGTGAGAGTTGTATCAGAGGATATGAAATATGGCGAACAGAGGTTTCTTGTACCTGCCGGTTACCCCAGATGAGTCATACGTACGAGACATTCAAGAAGGATGGCCTGATACAATGGAAAATTATAAAAGCAAGTCTCAGTAGTGTATGCATAATATATATGCACACTCCAAATATATTTTTTCTGATTTCACTTATATGCATGGAAAGAGGGCTAGAGAGGAAAGTCTTTACTCTTGGAAGCTGTCATGTAATAGGGCTATGTTGGTGTCTATCAGCCTTGCCCCTCTAAATCTTAAAGGTCATAGACAGTCAAGGTAATTCCAGTTCACCCAGGTTAGCAATTAAATCCACATCCGCAGTCTCTTCATTGGGCTCCAGGATTGAGTAAAGGCTGATTCCTGGAGTGTCTGGAGTTGTTTCTGTCTGATCCATCTGTTCAGATCGAGCCCACATAAAGGATTGAAATTGGATAACTGGGTTTTCTCTGGGGCTCTAACAAGAGCCACTAGCAAATATGGGCTTTTATTTACATTTCTGTTCTCAAGGGATTTTGCTGTTATTGAAAACTTAACCCCATAAAAAAGTGTATTTCTTAAATGCAGTTCCCTGATTATAAAGTTCATAATTTAAGAATCATGAAGATAATTTTCTATGCTAAAAACAGAATTATTGCAACAAAGAGCCCACCTTATTAAAATCAGGGAATAAAGTACTGCAATCAGTGATTTTGCCTGGTTGTTCTTTGATCACAATGAACATTTGTCACTGAGCATGAATCAACCTTAAGCCAGATGGTATCGCTCTTCTAGCAATGCCTTTTTGTTTTCCAACCTTTGAGGTAAATGTTAGTGATGTTTTGCTTTTAATAATTTATTTGTTTACAAGTGAAATCAAGACATTAGTGATTCCTTTTCCTAAAAAATTAGGTTTCTGGAAAGAAAAATATGAGCTCATTGTAAATGTTCAAGTAGTATAAAAATATATAAAAATAAAGTGTTTGCTATGCTTTCAGTGGTAACCACATCTGGTATATACCTTTCTAAATATTTTATTTGCATAGAATTTCTTTTCTTTCTATCCCTCTCTCAGTGTATATAGATGAAATGAGAAAAAATATACTTAGCTGTGCATATATGCTATGCATAAGCTACTGAAACCTGCTTTTATAATCTTGTATTATGGCCATTCTTCTTGAAAGCCTCAGATATATGCCTTTGTGGTGTGGAGGGTGTACATTTTAAATTTGGATAGATATTAACAATCTGATCTCTCATTCTCTCAATATTATAACTTATTTGAAGTAGCTTTTTCTTATAGGAAATTTTTTTTTACAAGACAGCGTCTTTGTTGGAAGTGAATAATAGTTGGCTGTGCAAGAATACTAGACTAAAGGAAGGTATATAGTAGTTTTGTGACTACAAATCAAACTTTTAACTGGGGTCTATGTTCTGTCTCAACAGGGCCCATTTGGAGGCCAGTGCTGAGAAGTGGAACAGGCTGCTGACATCTTTAGAAGAACTTATCAAATGGCTGAATATGAAAGATGAAGAGCTTAAGAAGCAAATGCCAATAGGAGGGGATGTTCCAGCCTTACAGCTCCAATATGACCATTGTAAAGTAAGTTGACCACATGTGGTGGGTGCCTTTTTTTTTTTTTCTTTCTTTCTTGATTTTGGTGAAATGAATACTCTGAAATAAACTTCTCAGTAAATATCTAAGTTCAACCAATTACCACAGGGCTTGCTTTCTTTTCTTTTTTTTTTCCCTGCTTTTAATCGTGAGCATTTAGATACTTTATTTAAATTGCATGCTTTGCTTCCATTTTTTTCAAGTTAGCTTGCCTCTTCATATTTAATTTTTTCCCAAACTTTAAAAATATCTAAAGCATGCTCTTCCTTCTAACTTGTAAAATTTTTCCAACTTTTCAATAGATTTTAATATATTGGGAAATTTCTTTTTTTTTGTTTTAACTACAAGTGAAGTTAATCATAGAATCATAAAAATATTAAACTCTTTTGTTTATATTAATTGAAAGTGAAAAAATAAGGAATTGTAGTAGTGAGAAATAGAATAAGTCTTAAAGCAAATGAAAACCATAATATTTAAGATCATTTTATATGTTTTATTTTCTGAACTTAAACTTTTTTTGAATTACATTTTTGACTTTGCTCAAGTTCCTATCTATGGAAATTTTTACTTTTACTCTGATAAGCAAACAAAGAGATATACTGAAATATTATTAGCTGACATTTTTAATTCTTAGATCTTTGAATAATCTAACTTCTTTGCCTGATTTGCTTTCCATTCATTTACTTACTATCCCTTCATACCCATTATCTTGTACAGTACATATTAGCTTGTTTTATTTATTTGATTTTACTCTTTACATGCAATGGAAGTTCTCATTCTAAATCAGTACATTTTAATGCAATGCTAGAATTCTGTTCCTATTTAAAAAATGACACACACACATGCACTCTTCTAAAGGAAGATGTCATCTATGTAATAAGTTGCTATAATGCATAATGATATGAGCTAAAATATATTTTGCTTTGAACCTTTGTGACTAAGGTATTAAAAATTACCATTTGAGAAAAGAGAATGTGATAAGGGAAATAGCTGTAAGATGAGAAAAAGAAAAACTGTTAGTGTATGCTCTGTGTGTGTGTGTGTGTGTATGTATGTATATATATGTGTGTGTGTGTGAATTATGGTGTTGGCAAAGAATATTGAATATACCATGAATCACCAGAAGAACAAACAAGCCTGTCTTGAAAGATGTACAGCCAGGATGCTCCTTAGAAGCAAGGATGGTGTCATGGATTGAATTGTGTCCCCCAAAATATCTGTCAATTTAGCTAGGCCATGATTCCTAGTATTGTATGATTGTTTACCATTTTGTCATCTGATGTGATTTCCCTGTGTGTTGTAAATCCTATCACTATGATGTAATAAGATGGATTAGTGGCAGTTACATTGATGGGATCTACAAGACTAGATACTGTCCTAAGCAAATCTCTTTCGAGATATAAAAGAAGTGAGCAGAGAGACAGGGGGACCTCATACCACCAAGAAAGCAGCACCAGGAGCACCTCGACCAGGGGAAGATTGATGCCAAGGACCTTCCTCCAGAGCTGTCAGAGAGCCTTCTGCTGGAGCCGATGTCCTGAATTTGGACTTGTAGCCTTCTAGACTGTGAGAGAATAAATTTCTCTTCGTTAAAGCCATCCACTTGTGGTATTTCTGTTATAGCAGCACTAGATGACTAAGACAGATGGCAAGACTTCGTCTCACATACTTTGGACATGTTATCAAGAGGGAGGAACCAGACCCTGGAGAAGGACATCATGCTTGGTAAAGTAGAGGGTCAGCGAAAAAGAGGAAGACCCTCGACGAGATGGATTGACACAGTGGCAGCAACAATGGACTCAAGCATAACAATGATTGTGAGGATGGTGCAAGACAGGGCAGTGTTTTGTTCTGTTGTACTTAGGGTTGCTATGAGTTGGAACTGACTCAACAGTACCTAACAGCAACAACAAATATATATACATACGTATATATATGATATAAATAGAAGATGTTAAATTACTGATTTTAGAAAATCACATTTTTCTCCTTACTTTAAAAAACTTTTCCTTTCTGTTAATCATTCATATGTCCTTTTTTGTGGATTCAGATATTAGTGATGGAAGATAATAATACAGAGCTCTTTCAATATAAGTGTTCTGTAAGGAATAAAATCTGTTTGTGGCTACTGGCTTTGATTAAAAACCAAAGCTTCAGATATGAAACGATTTTCCCATTCTGGTCTTTGCAAGTCAAGTGCATATCAGCCTTTCCAGTCAGTCCTGGCTGTTTCCTACCTCCTCCTGCCAGTAGGGTTACCCTGCTTTAGGTTGTGTTGAACTCTATTTTAGAGCACGAGTGCAGTTGCTGTGCTTCAACCCTTTGGGCCCAGGTATTTAGTTAATAAGGACAATAAGGATGATGACACTGATGATAAGATGGGTTCATTCATTCAACAAGTATTTTTTGAATACCTAAAGGCATCCTGGTGGTGAAAACAGTTAAGCATTAGCGGCTAACTGAGAGGTTGGTGGTTCAATCCCACCCAGCTGCTCCAAGGAAGAAAAGAGCTGGTGATCTGTTCCCGTAAAGATTACAGCCTAGAAAAGCCTATGGGGCAGTTCTACTCTGTCACATGGGGTTGTTGTGAGTCGAAATCGACTGGACTGCACACGACAACTACGACAAATATGCACTAGTCACTGGTAAACCAGCAATTAACAAAACACACTTCTTGCTCTTTTCCTAGTAGTGAGAGACACACTAGAGATACGGGCAACAAATATAGACTATGTCCCATGGTAATAGGTGCCATGAAGATGATAAAGCAAGGTCAGGGGGAGAGAGACAAATGGGAGAGTATAAGCAGAGGTGCTAGTTTATGTGGGGAAAATCAGGAAAGTACCATAAATGGGGTGATTCTGAACAGACACCTGACGTAAGTGAGGGGGTAAGCAATACTAATCTCTGGGAGAAGAAACTTTAGGGAAGGGGAATGAAAAACACAAAGGCCATGGAGATGCAATGTTCTTGGCATATTTGAGGAATAGCATGACCTTTTGGTCAGCAGCTAAGCTCTTAACCACTGTGCCACCAGGGCTCCATGGTTGAAGTAGTTGAGCCAAATAGAGAGAGAGGTAAGAGATGAGGTCAGACAGATTGGGTGAGTAAAGGAGGAGGAGGTTGATACTAAAGTCAGATCATGTAGGTCCTAGCTACACATTTGTGTCAACACAAGTTGACACACGTTTTGGAGGGACACAGTTCAGTTCATAACAGTAGGTATTGCATTATTTCATTTCACCTTCAAGAAATCATATGGTTCTGTCATCTGCATTTTACATTTAAAGACTGCAGTTCATAGACTTTAAGGAGTTTATCCACCATTTAGTTAAATGAGCAATGCATAGTGTCAAGAATCGAACCCAGTTTGTGTGAGTCCAAATATATTCATCATTCATTCAAAACATATTTATTGAACAACTTGTATGTGCCAGCACCATTCGAAGTTATGTTAACTGCAGTCAATTATTGATAGAGAAACTCTATAGAGTCCTATGAAGTTTCTACTTAAGATCCTACTAATTTGTCTCTCTTTATTGACATTGTAACTCAATCTGTCGGTGAGCTAGCATTGGAATTTCACAGTGTGTCTGTCCCCTCTTTGCTCTCAAGTGTTACTTTCCTGGCTTAGTTTAGGGAAAAGTCTGATGATGCCTCTTTTCTTACCCTATATATTTCTTCAGCTGCATTTTGAGAATGTACTAAAAATGAACATTAAAAATTATTCTCAGTAAGACTTTGTTTCACATACTTTGGACATGTTCCTTCAGAGGAACCAGCCTCTGAAGAAGGACATCACGCTTGGTAAAGTAGAGGGTCTGCAAAAAAGAGGAAGACCTCAACCAGATGGATTGACACAGTGACTACAATAATGGGCTCAAAGATGGACTGACACAGTGGCTACAATAATGGGCTCAAAGATAGCAGTGATTGTCAGGATGGTGTAGGAACAGGCAGTGTTTCGTTTCTGTTGTACATTGGGTCACTGTAAGTTGGAGCTGACTCAACGGCACCTAACAACAACAGTGTTAATTTTGCACTAAAGTAGCACTCAGTAAACGTTAGTTAGGAGGCCTTGGGTGGTGCAAATGGTTAACACATTTGCCTGCTAACCAGAAGGTTGGAGGTTCGAGTCTACCCAGAAGTACTTTGGAAGAAAAGCCTGGCGATCTACTTACCAAAATCAGCAATTCATAATCCTTTGGAACACAGTTCTACTCTGATACACATGGGATCACCATGAATTGGAATTGACTGAACAGCAACCGGTTATATGTTAGTTGAATAAATTAATTCACAGGATTTATAGGAAAAAAAACACCAATTATCTATTTCCCTGTATAGCACTATCCAGTACAGAAAAGCATGTTTAATTTTGGGTAAGCGTTCAAAATAGGTCACTGGTGAAGCATTATGTCTTGATGATCTAATGGTCCTGTCTTGGGTGGCCATCACATATTAATAGGTTTATTAATTGGCATCACATCTGACTTCGCTCATAGGAATTATACAGAAAGAAAAAACTCAAGGGAAGAAATAAAAGTTTAAGGCATGATTTTTCCATATTTTCTTTTTTGGTTGTCACATTTGCTATTACTTTGTGAGTAAAGCCTTGAAAATCTAGTCTTCATGAGTTCTTTTTTGTGTGTGTGAGCTACTAGATCTATAATATATTACGTGTGGCTGTAGGGGAGTTAGGGTGCAGTTAAGAGGGTAAGAGGTGGTGGTTGGCTCCTCATAGATGTGATAATTTGGGTTAAAAATGACACTGAGTGTTGTTACTGAGGGGTAAGGAAGTGGAAGAGGCACTGAGCTGGAATGAGAACACCTTTATATCAGAGCTCACTCTGCCACTGACTAGTTGGGGGACCCCGAAAAAGTTATCTGACTTACCCAAGCTTCAGTTTCCACATCTGTAAAATGGAGATAATAAGTAATTCCATCTGCCTATACAGAATTATTCTGAGAATCGAAAGACGTAATGT